TGTGGGGAAGAACTTGTTTGGTGTGAGGGTGGTGAGAGCCTGGCCCAGGTTGGCCAGAGAAGCTGTGGCTGCCCCATCCCTGGAGGGGTTCAAGGGCAGGTTGGAGGGGGCTTGGAGCAACCTGGGCTGGTGGGAGGTGTCCCTGCCCAGGGCAGGGGGTGGCACTGGGGGGGCTTTACGGTCCCACCCAACCCAAAATGTTCCTGGTTCTGGTTCCCTTCCAACCTAGTAATTCTAATTTTAAATAATTATTTACAGATACGGAAGAAGTGAGGGCATCCCGAAGAGACGACAAACAAGCGGGCTGGGAGGCGTTTGGCAGGAGCTGCGTCCTGGGCGGAGCAGGCCCATCCTCAGGGTGGGTACAGCGGCCTACCGAGCGGCCTCCCCGGGGAGCGGCTGCCCGAGGGACACCCCCGCCTCTCCCCCGAGCACCGTCACGGTTTGCTCTGGCGCTTTTCTCCCTCCTTATACCGACACAAATCTCAGCCGGACCCCGCCGCGGCCGCGCTGAGCGACACCCCCCGCCTCACCAGCCGGGCGGTGGCGCAAAGCCCAACGGGACTTGTAGTCCCTCTGCCGCCTCGCCCCGCTTGCGGCCGCCGCTAGAAAACTACATCTCCCAGCAAGGATCGCGGCTCGCTGTGCCCGCTGGGTGCGGGGGCGCGATGCATCCTGGTATGTGTAGTCAAACTGGTGGCGCTGGAGAGGGACTGGAGCAGGGAGGGGACTCTGTTTCCCGGCGGGCGACGCGGGGCCGGCAGTAAACCGCCCGGCGCCAACATGGCGGTCGATAAGGACCTGCTGGAGTTGGATCTGTACGGCCTGCTGGGGGTCAGCGAGAAAGCCTCGGAGAAGGAGGTCAGGGCCGCGGGAACCCTCACGGGGCCGCGGGGCGGCTCGGGCCGGGCCCCTTCTCTTCCCTTGCCCGCCCTCGGCGCCTCCAGCCCGGCCCTTCCCTCAGCACCAGGGGATGCTGCCCCGGGCAGGAGGCGGCCGGGGCGGGGGCCGCCTTTGCTGCTCTCCCGGTGTTTAGCGGGGCCGTTGCTCCAGGCGCTCTTTTAATGTGATATCGCTGCTGGCTGGCGGCTGGAGCGGTGAATGAGTGGGAAAGCCCGGTTTTTCTGAGGTCGGCTTCGCTGCTCGCACCCTTCCGTTTGCTCCCCTCGAGGCAGCGGGGCCGGGCCTGGCCCTGGGGGGTGAGACCCCCGGAGAGAGGGCAGAGGTGGCCTGGGGCCTTACTTCTCTTGCTGTGTTTGGGTGTCTGCCTTCGGGAGGAAAGTTCCTCCCGTGTTGACCAAAAATCCAGTTATTAGAGGTTAGTCTAGGTACTGTAGGTTCCCGCAAGTCATCTAGTTAACTTTGTGGGTTTGGAATTGCGTGTTTCCCTTTTATTCTTTAGTTTAATTGGTAAGTCAACACTAAACATGGGATTTGAACAACTGGGCTGGGAAAGTCACTTTTTGAAATGAAGGGAGGAAAACTATTAGTAACTGAACAGAATTAAACTTGAAAGGAAAACTTGGGTTTTCCTCCTTGGGCTTCCTTTCTTTTTTCTCTTTGTTTTTGGGTTTTTCCCCCCTTTAGCAGCAAAGAGCAATAGCAGTACAATAGAGTAAAGCTTGGAAGCCACAGCCTGGGCCGAACCAGCGGCTGTGTCTGAGGCTGTCTGGAAATTCCCTGTGTGTGAAGCACAAAACAGGAACAGGCAAAACATAACGCACAGGATCGAATGAGAGTAAAGGCTTCAGGTGATCTCAGCTCCTCTGCTGAGCTTGTCACTGTGGGCAAAGGATGAGAAAATTATTCATTGAATGTTATGGTGCAATTTAAAAATGAGCAAATGTAATTTGGAGCGTGGATCCTTGATTGAGAGTAACCCACAGACTCTTTGTATGCAGAGCAGCGTGGCCAAAAGAGATGAAGGGACTGTTAAAGTAATTTAACCTCGCTGTTTTGAAAAGCCTTATCTGAACTTGCCATGTAGAACAAACTGCTATTGTAATGGTTGTGACTGATGGATTTACCTCTTAACTTGGCAGGGGGTGGGATTACCCTGGAAGGCTTCAGCAGCTCATTTCCCTTCCCAGAGCTGTGCCCAGCAGATGGAGCTGGGCCACCGCTCACTCACTCCTTCCACAGAGGGTTCCTCGGCAGCGGAACTGAGCTTTTCTTCCTTTTTTGTATGCAGATGTGTCTCTGACAGAGGGAGCTCAGATTGTGAACAGTGACTTTGCTTGGAAAGTTGTAAATCCTTCTTTGAAGTGTAGAACATCTTGAGCAGTCTTTGGTCAAAAAGGCATCACCTTGCCAAAGTCAGTGGTTGTGCAGTAAATGGTACTTTCTCTGTCCTGAAGTTGCAGCTGCAAAGCCCACGGTATCCCTCTGGCTAGAGAGCTGCCTCGGTGAACCAGGCCTGGCTCTGGTGATGGTGAGGTCTGGCTGCTGGAAATACCCAGAAGTACAACTTGTGGCTTTAAAAAGGTTAAACTCATAAAAATATGGCTGTCTGCCCACTCAGTGTCCTGGACTCCAATGCTTAACCTCATGGTACCCAGTGATTAAAATTAACCTCACTGTGTTGAAGTTGAAAACTAGCTTTTCAGAGGTCTCTTGCTCTTACAGTAGGCTGCTTTGCTTTTAAATATGAGGGACAAATGGAGGCAGTGACACTCCAGAAATTGTCTTTGTGTTCTGTCCAGCCTTTAGGCATGCGAGGGAATGCTGCTTCAGCCACAGCCTTCTGCTTGTGATAGGGAGCTGTGTTTTAAGTTAAGCAAAACCAACAACAAAATCAACAAAAGAAACCCTCTGAATAGTAATTTTTTGTTTCTGAGGTGTGAGTTTTCTTCCCCCGAGTTGCTTTTCTCAGTACAAAGTGGCAGCAAGCAGTAACTCTCAGTTCTGGCTCCGGCAGGTGAAGACGGCGTACCGGCAGAAGGCCCTGAGCTGCCACCCCGATAAGAACCCGGACAATCCCAGAGCAGGTAAGATGGGGCTGTGCAGCCACAGGCAGCTCTTCGGGTTTGTTTTCACATGTGGACTCATGGAAGTGCCTCTGCTTGGCTTCAGGTCTGTCTTTGTGTAACTAAGGGAATGGCTGGGTATATGTCACATGAATTGTGTGGAGGCAGGGCTAGGAGTTCTTTTCATCACTATTATTTTTCATGTTTTCATTGATATTTGATTATTCATATTTTCATCACTGGAGTGGGCTGCCCAGGGCAGTGGTTGAGGCCCCATCCCTGGAGGGATTTAAGAGACAGGTTGACATAGTGCTTAGAGACATGGTTCAGTGATGGGTTTTATCAGACTTCGGGTGGTGGTTGGACTAGGTGATCTTAAATGTCCCTTCCAACCCAGACAATCCTATGCTTCTATTAGAGAGCTCTGTTTAAGGCTGAAAGCATACATATTGGGTTTAGACACTTCAGAGTTAGGTCAGTGCTGAAATTGTATTTGGACCTCTCCAAATCTTCCCACGTGGTACGATCCCAGACCTTTGGCCACGCTCCCCCCAGCATTTACTGGCTGGTCACTATTTTAATTCATACCTCTCTCAGTCAAAACTTCAATAGGGAGTCTATAAATCAGGCTTGCTGTTGCTTGATTATTGCTAATAAATCGTATTATCTGTGGGCAATGCCCGGTTTTGTCTGTGAGAGGCAAGGCCCTGGCTGTGTGGAACTCAATTTATCTGAACTGTTAGCAAGGTCTGGCTGCTGCAGCTACAGGTGGCAGTGAAGAGCAGCAGTAATTAGAAGGATGCTGTTCATCAAGACAATTCAAAACCAGACAATGCTCTGCATTTTCCAATTTGATAGGCTATAGTCTTACAGATTGAAAACTGTAAGTTTGTAATTGTAACTGTAGTACAGAGAAGACTTTTCCACCAGAAAGAAATAGATTTTAGCAGCAATGAGAGGAAAGCTGAGGCTTTGCTATCTGCAGAAGGCTGAGAAGTGATCTGAAGTTGGGGGGGGGGCCCTCCAGCTTACACACCTAACCTTCCAGGAAGAGGGTCAGCAACACTGATGTGAAATGCAAAGTTTGAATCTTGGGCTGAAAAGCTGTTGATGTAAAAGAGAGAATTTGTTTGTAACGGTGTATTTTGGGCTGACTGCAGATTGAGTAAAACATTTCTGCAGGTTCAGTAAAACGTTTTTGTAGATGGGTTCTGTTGAATTTGTGTTTTCAGGATTTCTCTTAAAATCAAATGGTCCCAATTTTTGCTTCTTCACTTACCCTGAAGTTCACGTGACAATTGTTGCCCTTTGAGTTGAGGTGATCCTGGCTGTCAATTGGCTTACAAATGCTTTGGAAAGATTATTCCTCTTTCTGATGTTCTGCAGGTCTCTTCCATAAGGGATTGTGTTTTCTGGTCCATCTCCAGCCCACTAGAGTGGTTTTCTGCATCTTACCCTTTTCTCTTCTAATTCCCAGCGGAAGTTTTCCACCAGCTGTCCCAGGCCCTCGCCGTGCTCACAGATGCAGCAGCCAGGGTAAGGATGTGTGTCCCTCCGTGGTGCTGGGGTTGTGTTACTCTCTGCCAGGAGGCTGGGGAAGTGCTGGAAACTCTCCTCCTGCCTGTCCCACGCTCTCCTCTGATTGTGGTTTCATCAACGTGAGTCTCATACGCTGTTCCCCCGTAGTTCTCTGGGAGATCAAGCAGCGGGTGCCAGATAAGAACCTGGACAAATGTTCTCTCTCTGATTTGATGTGCTGAGAGTAGCCCTTTCCGTTTGCTGTGAGGGTGAGATACTGTCTTTAATAACATGTTAGACTGGGGCATATCCCATTAAAAAATGTGAATGATAACACCACTGATTCAGGGACACATTAAATCCCCATGACAACAGTGCGTTTGCAGTTCCCTTGAAGTCAAGGTTTGACAAATGAACAATATCTGGCTGTGATTGCTCAGCTCCAAGCCTTTCTTTCCATGGGGCACGAGAGACTCGTAAACAGAAAAGCTGAATCACAACCACGGTCTCTGTCCTTCTGCTGTAAGAGCTTTGCAGGCTCCAGGCATAGCTCAGGCTCTGGTCTTGCTGTGAGGAAGCAGTTGAGTCCCTACTGCTCGGGGCCAGAAAGTGATCCAGACATGTGAAAGAATAAAAACTAAGTAAAAAAGAGCAAGTAACTCTCTGCAGATATACTCAGGATAGAAGGCACGTTAAAATTTCAGATGGTAAGATTTAAAAACATGAAATAACTCCCCTCTTTTCAAATATTGGCAAAGCTTGTAATCTTCCCTCCGAGGGGAAATTAAACTTTTGGCAACCAAAACCATTTTGGCTTCTACATTTTCAAAAGGCAGAAGTGTTCAGCCAACCCTTCCCATGCAGGAAGGAAAAATACCAGCTTTTCTGGTTTGTAAAAGAAGCACAGTGCTCTCCTGTGCAACTGACAAGTAATACTCAAGTACTTGTGCCAGTCTGTGCTTTACCTGCTACAGAAAGGTTCTGGGGAGGCTGATGAACAGATTATCAACTGGTTTAAACAGGTGCCACTGAAATTGCCAGTTTGCCCAGTTCCCAAGTCTCTAAAGTGCTAAATGAATGTTGATGTGTCATTGCTGCTGAATAGTTCTGATGTTCTTTGATCTATTATGTTCATGGGAGTCAAACATCTGTCTTGTGAATAGATCTCTCATATAAAATAGACCTTTTTAATTGTAAAATTCTACTTTAAACCAAACCTGATCTGTTAACAGTGCCCAGCTGATCTATTACCAGTGCCCCATAGGCTGCTTTTGGCAAGTTCAGGAAACCAAAATTCTCTTCCCACCTCTGAAGATGGGTCAGACTTTGTCCCCAGCATGCTTTGCAGTTATTTCTGGACTTCTCACCCTTTCAGGCTCCATCTGGGCATCCTCGGCCTCTTCTCATCTTTTCAGGATATTTGTGTCGACTTCCAACCCTTTTAGCAGGAATGCTAGCAAAGAGCAGAAAATGCTTCCCCTCTGCTTACAGTGTTTCAATATCTGATCTCGCCTGTATTCACTGCTTTCCATTTTATCTCTCCTGCTTTCTAGAGTTTCACACTGTTGTGTTGGTTCCTTGGCAGGCAGCGTATGACAGAGTGAGGAAGGCGAAGAAACAGGCAGCAGAAAGGACACAGAAACTCGATGAGAAGAGAAAGAAAGTAAAGCTTGGTAATAAAACAAAATCTTCATTTTCTCTTGGCTTGAACTCTTCATTAGCTGGCCGTTTGCGTTTCTTCTGCCGCTGGAATCCACCACTGATGACTCTGCTGTGCCTCTGAGAGGGCTGTGGTTTGGGTATGCCCAGGGCAGCACAGCAGCCGTCTGAAGTCCTCTCCCAGTCACAGCGGGGCTGGTCCTGCTCCGGGGGGGAATTGGAGGTTTTGAGGACTGTTGAGGCTGCTGGTACACTGCTGTGCCTGGGCAGGGGAGAGGAGGCAGAGCCATCAGGGCTCTGAAATTGATGTGGGTGTAGCCAGGGTTGTGATCTTTCTATCCACCTCTGGTCAGCAGGGAAAATTCTCTCTGGGTTGTTTTAGTTTTCTTTCTTTCTCTGCAGATCTTGAAGCCAGAGAACGAGAAGCCCAGACCCGTGAGAGTGAAGAGGAGGACATCAGGATAACAAGATCATTAGAGCAAGAAGTAATGAAAAATTCTTTGATTTCTCTGCTTCTTTTGAGAAGAATCGCTGAAAGTCTTTACAGTCATAATGAAAAGCACATGATGAGATGCAGCAAATCTCTGTATAACAGTCCTTCAGCCTTTTGGATTAATGGGCTCTAGGCACGTAGAAGGGATCCTATAGCAAATGGCAGATGTGTCAATTTGGGGATTTTATTTTTTGGCTGCCCTTTTCCTTTTGCCTGGCAGCTGATAGCAACAGCTAATTGGTTATGTGCTGGCTGCGAGGGACTGTGTCACTAGGAGCAGGAGGGGTCCAGCTCTATGAGCGCTGGAGCTGCCGCAGGGGAGCTCGCAGGAAGGTTGTCCTGGGAGGTGGGTGTCAGACAGGAGCTCCCCTTGGCAGCCCAGCCACGAGCTGTGCCCTCAGGTGTCCCTGCTCTCTTCCCTCTGCTGCAGATAATCCGCCTGCGTGAGGAGGGCTCCCGGCAGCTGGAGGAGCAGCAGAAGCTCATTCGAGAGCAGATCCGACGGGAAAGAGAGCAGCACATCCAAGGTGAGGGATGGGATGGGAGCCCTCGGCCCAACCACGTGCCCGTGGGACTCCAGCTCTTCTGCAGGCAGAGCTCACGTGTGGATCCAGCCTTCTGACCTGCTCACTTTGCCATATATAGCATCCCACTCGGCACCTTTTTCAGGAATAAGTCAAAAAACTTAACATTTCTGTGGGGCTACTTTCTTCTATGTGGCGTGCTGCTCTTTAACATGCTGTTGCTGCTCCTTTTCAGTAAATATTCTAAGGCACTGAATTTAGAAGATCTGATGCAGAGCCCCACAGTTATGCTGGAGGGACCCTCAAGTCCTGCTCGTGCCTCACAGTTAAAGCAGTTGGTGTTGCAGCCTCAAAATGGGGAATGATTCGAGTTTGCAAAAAATACTGGTTGTCACTGAGTGTGTCCCCTTGACAGTTCTCAGTGCTTATCACCCAAAAGAGGCTCTGTGTGGAGAATAGGGTTGGTTTTTTTAGTTTCTGATTGCTGAGGCTTTACTTTCTGGAACTTAATTCTCTCGTGTTCCTTGGACGTACACAGGCTTCGTCCCTGGTTTGTAGGAAGAGCAGCAACAAATCTGTCAGGAAATGAGCAACACAGTGACGTGGAAAACATCTGTTCTGTGCTGGACAGCAATAGGTGGTTCTGACTCAGGTGTCTCCCTCTGGTTCTCCTGGGTGCTTCAGGAACTGTCGTTGGTCTCCTCCATACAGGAGGCAATGGGATTTTTCCAGAATCCAGAACCTCATCCTTTGTTATCCTGAACCTCACTCCCATCCACAATCTCACTCTGTACTGAATTGCCTTTTTTAATATTCTGTGTCTGTGTGGGCTTAAAATACGGTTTTATGTTTCAGAAAGTTCTGTTCTTTTCAAAGCTAATTAGAGTGCTGTTCAGCTTTTCAGTTCAATGGGAGGATTTACTGTCTCTTGCTTCCTACCCTCTTCCTTCTGGCAGAGACTATAGTACAAGATTCATTCCTTTCTCACAGAAAAAATACTGATCTAATAATTGAAAAAAAAATGCCACAAAACCCACCAGAGGTCTGGGCGCAGAGATTCTTTTAGGGGTCACCAGGGTTTTCCTGTATGACTGTATGATCTTTTTCTTGTCTGCCTTTAATTTTTCCACCGTTGTTCCTGCCAGCACAACCCCCTCACAGGGAAAAATGTCACAGAATCTAATGGATCTCCTGCTTGTATTTTTACGTAGCTGTTTCTGGCCTTGGCTGGGGCATGTTTCATAGAAGGGAAGAGCACTCCCATCCAGCACTTGGTCTGCACTGCAGTTCCTGCTGATGGTGTCACATGAGGCTTTTGGGGCTGAAATGGTCAGGTGGAACCCAGCAGTGGTTGCCATCACTATATGTACATTCTCAGGGTGAATTTTGTGCTAAATGCTCTTTAGCTGAGAAGTTTTCACAATCATTTCCATCTTTTTTTTCCTTTCCCCTCTTTAGGCAGACAAGAAAGAAACGGAGCAGAAGGGAAAATAACTCCCAAACTCAAGGTAAGACATCCTTATGAGGTGGGATTTGGTGAAAACTGACGGAGCTTACGCAGCTTTGGAGAGCAGAAGGGGCACTGCAGCTCTGCTGAGCTGCTCTCTTTGGACAGCAGAGGGGAAGTTCCTTTGGGCGTGCAAACAGCTCCTCTCACTGCCTTTAAAATACCCTTCCTCCCCCCCCCTCTCTGTGGTCTAGGGTTTTTGAGCCTGAGATTGAGTTGTCTCTGCTTTAGGCGGAGGGAAACATCTGCCTGTTACCCTGAAATAGCCATTAGCATGCTTTCAACTATTATCTTTTTTTATTTCAGTGGGTAGTGTTTTCTCCCCGTTCCCCAAATAATTTGTTCCCTTTGCACGTTCTGACGCTGAAATCACTGCTTTGGCAGTTCTGGGAGTGTAGCTGTAAATAGCAAACGTGATTATTGTGCAGGTGGCAGGAGCTGCATTGACTGTGGCAACGTGTGTTCAAATGGACAAAATTAACTTGTCGTGTTTGTTTCCCAGCTAAAATGGAAATGCAGCAAAGAAGATGAGACCAGAGGCGGATATTCCAAAGATGTTCTGTTGCGCATCCTACAAAAGGTCCTGTCTGACACTCTTCCCTAACACTCCATCTTCCCCTGCTCTCAGGCGTAGAAGAAAGGATAGTTCATTCTGGGAAGCTACGTATAAAGCCAGAGTGGCTCTTTGGTTGTTTTTTTTCTCTGTTGCCCAGCTTTCTCACTGTGCCATTCTGAGCTCAGCAGCATGAGCCATGGCTGGGAACTGTTCCCCATGAGCCCCTCCATCTCCTGCCCAGCAGGGACTCTGCTGAAACAGAGCAACTCCAAGCTCTTCCCACCCATGGTTCGTGCCCCGGTGACAGTCAGACTGGCTGGTTGTGGTGCTCTGTGCCTGCACTCAACGTGCTGTACATTGGCTGCTGTGGGGAGCTCAGAGGCAGGAACAGAGGAGCCTTTGATCCCATTAATCCCAGCATGGGGTCTTTATTTTCCCTGTGTGCAAGTGTCTCCTGTAGCTCTGGCTCTGAGCCAAGCTGCCCCCTGCACTGGGGCTTGCTGAAGCGAAGTGCACATGTAGCTCTGTGCCTCCCCAGAAGTGTTTCCTGGAGGAACAGCAGTGATGCCAGGGTGGGATCGGTGGGAACACCGTGCAAGGCAGCAGGGGTGAGGGCTCAGGCCTCATGTCTGTGGAAACACAGGTTTTCTCTTTGTGTTTGTTCCACAAATGAACTCGGCTTCTCTTCCGGGGCTGCAATTAACTTCCCTTTCTGTCTGTGTCCCAACAGTACGGTGACGTGCTCAATTTGTTGATCTCGAGCAGGAGGACTGGGAGTGCAGTGGTGGAATTTGCTACGGTTAAGGCTGCTGTAAGTCAGGGGGGACCCCGGGTGTGTGCAGGGGGGAGACGGGCAAAAAGGGGTGTTGGAGCAGGGAAAGGTTGGCAGCTGATGGCCTGGAGACACTGCCCTGTCATTAAGGCAGTGGGGAAGGGTAATGAGAGTCTAAAGGCCCACAAGGGAGTGGTGAGGCTGGAGGCACCAACCCCAGCAGCTCCTGCACACACACAAACAGGCTGTGCCTGTGAAGGGCTGAGCAGACACTCTGCTTGAAAAAGCAGGTGCTGAACCCTCGAATCAGCTCTCGCTGTAGGTGAATTACCCATTGTGGGGATGGGCTTAATGAGTTGTAGAGGTTATATCAGGCATTTGCAGTTTAAAAGAAATCAAAATGTCTTGACTTGCTGTGAGTTATAACAATTTGTGCAGCTGTGGGAACAGAAATCATCAGTTACGCTTAATTTTAGTAGATCTATCAACTTAAACTTACACTGCACCAAGAATCTCTATTTCCTGTCACCTGTTCATGTGTCCACATAATTAAAAAAACCCAGAATTTTCTGTGACTTTACCAGAAGTACTGGCAGTGATACGTTCTGTCTATGCCTGATGCAGATATGGACACTGAAGGGTGCTGCTTGTGCAGGGCTGTGAAATCTTCACCCATTGGGCCCCCCCTGGCCCCGGTGCCAGGCTGAGATGGAGAAACTCATGATTTGTAGTGACCTGTGGGGGAGTGGGGTGTGACATTCAGATGGTGATGGAGTAACGTTCTTGTTGTTAGGAGATGGCTGTGAAGAATGAAGTTGGGCTGACAAATAATCCTCTAAAGATTTCCTGGCTGGAGGGCCAGCCCCAGAGCAGTCCCAGCACCGTCCTCTCCGACAGCACCGCTCAGCCTAGGACTTCCCAGGTAAGGAGACACAGGCTGCTGTTACTTTAACCTGTTTCTATAGCAACCTAAATTGAACAGGGTGCTTTACATTTATGGTAAGACAAGTTGATTCCCAGCAGAGCTGAAAGGAAGCTCTTAATGAAAAGCCTGGGTTTCTGATGAGCTCTTTTGTGCTGAAGCAGTGGCTTTTTTAAAGGGCCTTTTGCCTGAGTGGCAGCGCGGTGAGAGCACAAGGTGTTCGGATGGCTGGTTCTTCACACAGTTTGACCCCCTCTTCCAAGTGAAAAACAAGGATGTTCCTTGCTCAGTTCAAAGCCTCTAATGCCATTATTCTGGATTTTTTTCTAATATACTAGTAAGATGCAATATACTTTGACTGTGGGAATCCTCTGGTTGAAACGGGTCTCCTAGAAGGCTGCCTTAGAGAGGCTTGGTTCACAAGAGGGTGAAATGTTAGTGCTAAAAGGATACCTAGATTCTTAGGGGCTGCAGGAGGGAAGAGAAAGCAATAATAAATTAAATATCCTGCTAGAGACCTCATTGTCTGATTTGGGTCCTCTTTCCCAGTGCAGTTACTTTGAGTGCAAGCTCTTTCTTCACTCTTAGCTGTTTCCTGCTTGTTTCACCAGATCATTGCTCTGAAGCTGTTGCTCTTGTAGGACAAACGTATCCCAATCCCAAACCAAGGGGAAGGCAGTAACATCTAATGCAGGTTGTTAGCTCTCTATTACCCCTTGCTCCTGTCGGTCCCCTGCAGTGGCAGACACGTCCACTTCTTTGGAAGCGTGGTACGTTGCACTTTGCTCTGTGGCCCAGGATTTATCTCATGCTCTGCGTGTCTTCTGGTCTAGTGAGTAATTTCTTGGCTATGAAGGTGTGAAGGGACACACACAGATCCTTCACGGGTTACTTGGGTTCCAGTTCAAACTTCACGCAACGCTTATTCCCTTTTCCCCCTTCCCTCTGGTATAAAGATCAAAAAGCTCTAATTGCTGGGGAGGCTCCTGCCCTGTGCTCTGTGGGTGCCCTTCGTCTGTGTGTCTGTGTCTCCATCCGCCTGGTGGGTCCTGAGCAGCCTGTGAGATTGTTCAGTACATTCTCTCCTGGGGGGAAAAAGCAGAATCTTACCCAGTTTGAGTATCTCTCTAACAGAGTGAGAACTGGCTGGTTCAGACCTGAGGGGGTTGTTGGTGCAGTTGGAGCTTGGTAGTGGATTCTTGCCTCTCTGGGTTCAAAAGCCCTGGCTTTTGGCTGAGTTTGGCTTGGCTGGTTAGTGTGGAGCTGCAGTGCCCTCCTGCTGGAAGGATTAGCTGTGGAGCAGGAGGGAGAGCGGCTGAAGCAGCGGCTGGTGTTGGTGCTGAGCGGAGGCAGTGACTCACTCCTGCCCAACGCAGCTCAGTCAGTCCCTCATTAGCTCACAAGATCACCAGTTATGGCCAGGGACTTGCCTCCTTTCCCACAAATTGCCCCGCTGATGCTTGTCTGTCCTTTCTACTGCTTTCATGTGTAAGCACCGCAGACTCTCTGATTGCATTGCAGTCTTGCTGTCCAGGCTAAGATCTCTAGGCTGCTTTGGTTCCTGCTTTTCCTAGTTCCTACTCCAGACCCTCCCCAAATTGTTTTATTGCTTCCACTAGGTTGCTTCCAAAATTGGTACTGTGGTAGCAGCTTCTCTCAGCTCTACTGCTTCCAGCTGACTTACTCTTTGTCCTCAGCTCTTCAACTCAAGAATGTGCAAAGTGAGCTCTTGCAGATCTCTTTTGCCACTGCCTCAACCTGCTCCCTGCTCTGTCCTTCCATGCCCTCCTTGGCTTCCCAGCCATCAGGGTCCACACACTTGCTCTCAAGCTGCACTTAATCTCACCCTGATTTAAGCTGCCCTCGCTTCCTATTTGCTGCTCCCTCTGGGTTGCTCCTATTTTTGTCTGAATCCGCCCCCACCTTTGCTCCCACTCTGCGACTGCAGCTTTGGAAAACAGCCCCAAACCCGGAGCGTTCTCATGGCAACACTCTCACTGCCTCTCTGCTCCAGAGCCCTGTCTGCTCCCTTCCCTGCCTGGGTACTGGGAGCTCTGCACCAGCCTCTTCCAGTAAAGGACAGCCACGCACCACCCAGACCAGAGGAGCTCTGGAAGCAGGTGAAAGCATGGCTGGTTGTTGGAAAAACCTTCCTGTGAGGAGGCAGTAGGTTGCAAGACACTCGTCTCTGCTGTCTTGGTTGGCTCATTTTCTCCTAGAGCCACAGGTGCGTGTTGTCCAGCAGTTCCTGGAGAGCTGCCGGAGCCAAACGGGCGAGTTATGCCTGAATGACAGAGGCTGTGGAGTGGCCAGCACTGCTCGGGGCTATTTGAGAGCAATGACTGTGTGATTGCTGTGTTGTGTGTGGCTCAGAGCACACCAGGGCTGCACACTGCCATAAGAGTGTATTGTACCACGGCAGCAGCGTGAAGCTCTTCTGCGAGGGTCTCCCTCACACCTTCAGCAGTGGGATCTCCCTGCCAGGGCTCCTCAGGCACCTTGGGCCATTCATCCAGCCATGGGAAAGTGCTGAGCAAAGCCTTCTGTCTGGCACTCTGGCATCTTTTCTAAGCTCCTTTGAGATGTTCATAGAGTTTGTTTTATATTATCCGCCTTTACAGCCTGGTGTGAGTCTGGCAGGTTAAGAGCTGTCTGTGCCTCCTCTGCAGTGTCTCTGTGCTTTGCTGTAGGAGGCTTCCAAAGCTTAGGGTTATCTAGGCACACAGAGGGTTTACTGTTTTAAAACAGAGCCCTAGTATCTAATGTAGCTATAAAAAAGGCAAGAAATGGTGAGTTTCTGCAGTGTGCTTTTAATAGTTTTCCCTGATCCTGCCTGAAACGCCCTGGGCCTGGCAGAGCGGTCCCATTGTCCAGCTCTGGGGGTAAAAATCTCTCCTCCCCACGCTGGGTCTTGGCCTGAGCTCTGTGCCCTCTCCTCGGGGGAAGGTGAAGTCCCAGCAGCTCTGGCCTCCTCCCAGCCCAGAAGAGCAGCCACGCTGCTCCCCCACCCTCGCAAACACCCAAAGTGCCACAGTGGATCGATCTCTGGCACCACAGATAAGGGACCTGGGCTTTGTCTGGCTTGCTACCAATGAAATGAGGCAACATGACGCGTCCAGTCACAGATACATTTATTCTTCCATATCTGTACAGCTGAGAGATCAGTGCATGCTTCAGGCAGCAGTATCGAGAGAAGTGTCTCCTGCTAGTAGGATAAACAAACTGCTGTTGCTGTGTTAGGAGCCTACGTGGATGCTTACCTGTTTCCAGGCTGCCAGTGCCAACTGCACCTGAGTTGGGGGAAAAGAAACCCACAAGAGGAAAAAAAAAAAAAGAGGAGGAACAGCTTTGATTTTTCACATCCAGACAAGGTGGGAGAAGAAACACCCGTTTCTGTCTCTTGACCCTTGCCGTAGCTATGGCTTTGAGGTGCAGGGCTGTCATCTCCCTGCAGGCTGCTTATCCACAAGTGCTGGATGCCCTGTCCCTTCGTGCCCGTGTCCCGCAGCGTTACAGCCACGTCCCCCAAATAACAGGTCTGTGGGCAAACAGTGCCCTTCTTCCCCGAGGAGGAGACACAGTCAGGAGTGGGACGTGCCCGGGTTGGAGAGCAGTAACTTGCCCACGGGGTTCCAGCAGACGGTGCTCTCATCGGAGCACGGAGCCTGTGGGCTCTGCTCCCAGGGACTCCTGGGCAAGGACAAGGACAGTCTGTGGTGGGGAAGGCAAGAACGACAAGACAGGCCACACGTAACAGGAATGCTGCAGTGTCCTTCCTCCCGCCAGGACCAGAGAAACTGCCTGCAGCAGTAAGGAAATGTGATGTGTCAAATGAGAAATACCTTCAAATGGCGTAATCTCTTGGGTTCTGTTTTCTGAGGGTCTGCAGAACATCCTCGAGAAGTGATAGCCCCAAATCCACTTTGAAGGAGAGGAAGGGGTCGGACAGGTCACAGAGGGGGGTGCCGTTCTGGGCGCCTGTCTCTGAGCTCCCGCAGTCTGTCCCCTGGTCCTTGTGGAACTGAGTTTGAGTGGCTTTGTGGTATTGATGAGAAGCACCAGAGAAGGAGAGGTCGGAGTGAGAATCCGTGCGGTCGATGATGTTAGGGCAGCTAGAACTGTCCAGGTAGAGGCGGGGAGGCTTGGGAGGTGCTTGTGCCTTGGCCAGGTTTTGCTCACTCTTGCAGGACAGGTAGTCGGACTTGTCCTTCAGATCCCTCAAGCATTCCCTCTTCTGGCGCTGCCCGTCGCTGTCCAGCGTGTGGCTGTTCTGGTTCAGGATGATGACCTGGTTGCCCAGCTTTTTGTGTCTCCTGAGCGAGAACCGTCTGAAGAACGTCGTGGACTTGATGGACCCTCTCCGCCAAGTATCCATGGTGAGAGGCAGCGAGGAGGAGGAGGAGGAGGAAGCTGCTGACTCTTCACAGCCAGGTGTCGGACTTAAGTCGTGGGTTCAGCAGCAAGTCACACAACAGGAACAACCTCTTCCTTCCTTGTTGCCGGGGCTGGAAGGAAAACAGAGAGGCTGGTATTGCAGGAAATGCAAACCTCGCACCGCGTCCCTGTGTGCAGGAGCACTTGGCCTGTCCTAGGTATTAAGGAGTCTTCTCCTTCGGTGGAGAAGGAATGGTGGTGTCTGAGCTTATGAAATCTGTGCTGCAGGAACAAGCTGGTGAGGAACAGCAAAGGCGCACAGTCACCATGAGAACAGATTTAATCCAGCATCTAGAACAGAAGGGCACTTTGGTGCCATGGTAACCAGCCACCTTCTTGGGGAAGGGCACAGCACAAAAATCTCTGTGGGTGGTGAGGAAGGGAGACGGTGACTCAGTCACGCTGGAGGAAACCAAAGAAACAGCCAAATGGAAACAGAAAAACCAAGAAAATGCAGCGGTAGATGACAAATGTTAGGAAAATTGAATGTAAAATAGACTTACGCTGTGTCGGAGCAGCTCCCGAGTCTGACAGGTGCTGAGGAGAAACTGCTGGAGCACTCGGAGAACTGTGAGCACCACGTCCAGCAGTGTGCTGGGACACTGGGAGAGGAGTGTGCTGGGACGCTGGGGGAAGCAGGTCCAGGGAGGGTTCAGCCAGGTTGGACCCGGAACGCCAAAAATCCCCGATGCCTCCTTCTCTTCATGTGCCTCCTGTCACTGCTTCCCAGGCTGCGGCTCCGTGTGCGGATGGGTTTGTTTTGAGCCAAGCCCTTGCTGAGTCAGCCACGTCAGAAACTGGGGTTTGCACCATTGGTAATTGCCAGGATTGCAGGAAGTAGGTGTGTGGAGCGGCACAGCACCAGCCCACACTCTGCCTGAGGAGAGAGCGAGCTCCTCCGAGGCGCCCGGATCGCTTGGGAGCTGCCAACAGCAATGTCAGCCTTACCCCAGCTTCAGTCAGAGCCTTTCCTCCCTCGGTGCTCTCCTCCTGCCGCTCCTCAGGGCTGCCTGTCCCAGCAGAGCTCCCCGTTGAGGCCAGAAATAATCTGTCTGTTTTAAATTGAAGCCTGGAATGTGAGTGGTGTTTCAGGTTTGTACAGGTGATTCACCTGCCCGAGTCTCATGCAGGCTATTTAGTTCAGCCCAGCAAATGACAGTAAGTCTCTGTGGCTGGTGGACAGGAGCTTTGGAGAAGCTCCTAGTTCTGCCCTGGAAAAGCTGGTAGGAGCTGCTGCTTTCTCAGACACCGGGAAAGTCTGTGCTGAGAGGTTATTTCATTCACACAGCTCCTAAGATACCAATTATGGCGAATTACTCTCTTAATTTCCCGGTCTGAATTTCTCATCTGTTGTGGGTTTCCATCCTGAGCTGCAGCTGAACACGCTGCAGCTGGAGGAGCCGCTTCGCTGGCACCTGGTAACAAATTTGCACTTGCCCCGTTTTTGTGCAGGATCTTCTTTAGCTGTTCTGTTGCCTTTTCATCCCTTCCATTTTCTATCTCAGATGTCCTTAAATCACCACTAGATCTAGTGCCTGGGAAAATGAGCGTGAGATTATTTTTTTTTATTATTTTTTTCATTCACCTTCTTTCTAAACGCTTTTATTTCCACCTGAGCTGTCAAGCGAAGGAGCTGGATGTTTCCAAGCAGTGCCGAGCTCTGAATGTGTCTGAAATAGCAGGGCCACCTACCAGTCTGAGCTGGCTGCTGGAAGCACAGTGCCAGAGCCGCGCGGGGGGAGCTGTCAGAGCTGCCTACACCGATTAGGTGGCGTCTGCAGCCACCACGGTGCCGATGTGACAGTGGCTGCCACGCGTGGCAGGAAGGCTCCAGGAGCTTTTGAGAACCAGGACACCCTCGTGTCAGGCTGGGGAACCTACCCGGGGGTTTTCTCTCTGCGGCCACTTCTGTGACTAAACCCTAGAAAGGTTTCATTGTTCGTGTTTTTATGGCGTTAGGCTTTATAAGGGGTGAGGTGTTGGCTGGACTTTGTGCACAGTGTTGTACAAGCACGAGCTCGTCATCCCAAGTAACCGGCCACAGTGGGGCAGGTGGTGCTTCCCCATCCTCCCTCCTCCCCTGGGAGCATGATAGGGTAATTCCCCGTCTGTCCCGCTCCATCTCATCCCTAACACCGTGATTATCATGGAATTGTTTGAGTTGGAAGGGACCTCTAGAGATCATCCAGTCCAACCCCCTGCCAAAGCAGGGCTGCCCAGAGCACATCACTCAGGAGCATCCAGGTGGGGCTTGAAGATCTCCAGAGAAAGGGACTCCACACCCTCCCTGGGCACCCTCTGCCAGGGCTCTGCCACCCTCACCCCAAAGAAGTTCTTCCTCAGATTGGAGTGGAACTTCCCATGGTCCAGCTTGTGCCCGTTGCCCCTCGTCCTGTCACTGGGAACCATGGAAAAAAGTCCAGCTCCCTCCTCCTTCAACCCACACTTCAGATCCTTGTCAGCATTGATAAGGTCTCCCCTCAGCCTTCTCTTCTCCAGGCTAAAGAGCCCCAGCTCTCTCAGCCTTTCCTCATCAGGGAGATGCTCCAATCCCTCCATCATCTCTGTTGCCCTTCGCTGGACTCTCTCCAGCAGTTCCCTGTCTCTCTTGAACTGGGGAGCCCAGGACTGGACACAGGATTCCAGTTGTGGCCTCCCCAGTGCAGAGCAGAGGGGGAGAATGACCTCCCTCCACCTCCTGGCCACGCTCTTCCCTACACAGCCCAGGATCCCATTGGCCTCTTGGCCACAAGGGCACACTGCTGGCTCATGGAGAGTTTGCTATCCTCTGGAACCCCCAGATCCTTCTCCTCAGAGCTGCTGTGTGTGCTGAAGCTGGCTGTTTTCGGAGCCCAGCACTGGAGGCAGGATTCCAGTTGTGGCCTCCCCAGTGCAGAGCAGAGGGGGAGAATGACCTCCCTCCACCCACTGGCCACACTCTTCCCTACGCAGCCCAGGATCCCATTGGCCTCTTGGCCACAGGGGCACATTGCTGGCTCATGGATAGTTTGCCATCCACCGGGACCCCCAGATCCTTCTCCTCAGAGCTGCTGTGTGTGCTGAAGCTGGCTGTTTTCTGTAGGCTGTTTGCTGCAGGCCAGGCAGACGCACCTTTCCCCGATGTCTCTGGGGTCCCACTGCCACGACCCACCTTCCTGGCTCCAACGGGCACACTCTGAGCAGCACACTGCTGGCTCATGGAGAGTTTGCTATCCTCTGGAACCCCCAGATCCTTCTCCTCAGAGCTGCTGTGTGTGCTGAAGCTGGCTGTTTTCTGTAGGCTGTTTGCTGCAGGCCAGGCAGATTTCGCATCTTTCCCGATGTCTCTGGGGTCCCGCTGCCACAACCCACCTTCCTGGCTCCAACGGGCACATCCTGAGCGTGGTTGCTGGCGGGGGGAGCTGGGGTGTACACCGTGGGTGAGAGGGTGGTTGTGTTCTGCTGGCAGGCCTCGGTGGTGTCGGAGCGGGACTACGAGAGCCTGGTGATGATGAGGATGCGGCAGGCGGCCGAGAGGCAGCAGCTCATCGAACAGCTGAAGCGGGAGGACACGGAAGAGTCTCACACCTAACCTGAGAGTATGGATTCTCCCCACCCCATCCCTCTTCCTTTCCAAAGCTGTTTCTTAATTTAAGTCAATAAACCTCCTTCTTTTTTAAAGCCTTTGTAGGAATGCAAGCTCTTGGTGACAGCAGCCCTTCAGAGGGGGGGGGAAAGGCTGCATCAGCCTCAGGGTAAGTGCATTACCCTGTGGTCTGTGTGCTCAGAGCCACACAGGAGGGGAGAGGTGCTCTCAGAACAGCTCCTAGCTTCTTTTAATTCTTGGGAGCTCGTTCGGGAGCTGTGGATCACAAAGGTTTGGCAACAACTGTTTAAAACAACCCACAGGAAGATGTTGGTCTGTTCAGAGAAATGTTTTATTGGTGTTACCCCACAGCAGGATTCATACCCAGTCCCAACCCAGCCAGCACGGCAACTGCAGATCACAGGGCCCGTACCTGAGATGTTCCCAGGACCTTTCCCTGCTGCTCTCAGGCTGTTTTGGGAGCGGTGTGTGATGCTCAAAGGGCACTCCTGGGGCTGAGAGGCTGCTGCTGCTGCCAATCCCAGTCCCAGTGGGGAGAGAGAGGGGCCCTGCTGCCCAGAGAGGGGGTTCTCGAGGAGCACGGTGCTGGCGTTGGAGGGAGGAGAGAGCAGAGTGTGTGGCATCCATGGGTGCTGGGCCTGCCCTCCCTGCCCCCCGGGGCTGGGGGAACGTGCCCTGAGCTCCCAGCCCAGCAGGGACCTCCCCGGGGCACCGGGCGGACGGGTCTGTTCTTTGAGCTCCCTCCAGTGCGTGCTAAAGAGGAGATGATTAAAATGTAAAAGCATGGTATTTGCCAGGCTGCCATTCGGATGAACGCGGGGATGGAGCCATCTGTTCCCTCTGCCTGATTTCCTCTGGGCTGGGCAGACCTTCCTCCCCCCGGGCTTGTGAAATGGCAGGGTGGCCACTTTACAGCGGGTCAGGTTTTGCCCCTGCCCCGCTCCTCCCCCCCGTGCCCGGAGTCGGGGGGGGAAAGGGATGAAGGGGGAAAAGTTTGCTGATGGTCCCCGGCAGGATCTGGGCCAGGAGGGACGCCGAAGTCTTCCTCGCTACTCCTTGTGGAGGCACCAGACCAGCGTCTGGCCCACGCCGGTCATGCTCACCACCCGGTACCCGCAGGTCTCCAGCTTGTCCAGCACCACCCGCGGCACGTCGTTGACATAGTACTCCCAGCTGCAGGCAGGAGAGAGCAGGAGAAATGCAGTGAGGTGGAGAAGGAAGAGCCAAGAACTTCCTCGCAGAAGGGACCATGTGGAATGGACCCTGCCCTGCTGCTAAACCGGTAAAGACCCTGCGGTGACCACATCTGGCACCCTGACCATGGTGCATGATGTCTCAGTCAACCAGCTGGGGTGCCAAACCAAGGGGGGAGCCTGGCCAGGAGGGAAGGGAATGGTAAATTGAGACTTTTTTGCGTTAATTCTGAGGAGGGGTTGACCAGAGGCAGGTGCTGCTTGGCTGTGCTGGAACAGGAGCAGAGAGGGCTCCCGAGCAGCCAGAGCTGGGAACTCCTAGAAAAAGAGGATAATCCCTGCAAAGCAGGGAATAGTGATCCAGGTGGTTTTGAGGAATGAAAAACCAATGTTTTGCCTGTGTCAGAGCATCTCTAAATTAGTGAGTTTTTTTGATCCAGTGCTTGAAATTTGGGGAGTGGAAGAAAGTGCAGCCTTCAGCCAAGGGTAAGCCTTTGAAAAAGCAGAAGCCATTGGTCCTCAGCAGAGCTGCCAGATAAAGGGGCAGAGGCTCCTCTCTCCCCGGCAGTCGCTGCTGTGGGTGTCCAGGAACCTGCACTCAGGGCTTTTTCCCAGTGGTTGTGTTGCCCTGTGCTTTCTGCCGGCGGGGATGGGGAGCAGGAGCTCTCTCCTTCCCTGCGCCCAACCCCGGGGCTGCTCCGGCCGCCAGAAACGAGGCAGTGATTGGGGAGTGAAAGGGCCACAACATGGGCCCAAAACTGGCCGAGCTGGGTGGGGAAGGAGCAGAAATGGCAAGTGTCACCTTCAGCGGTGGCAGCCTCTGCGCTCCCTCGGCACAGCCTGGGATGTGGCGCTGATCCAGGAGATGGGATCAGCTCCACAGCAGCTCAGCTCCAGGTGAGTCACTGCCCAGATAAGCTGGTAATGAAGGGCTGTGGGATCCCTGGCGATCTCGTTTGGGCACCTTAACAAAGACTCTTCTGATTTTCATACTAATAACAATAAAAAAAGACCCAAAAGCCTTTCCGAGGCTGCTCTCGCTAAGGTTGCAGAATGTTAATGGAGCGGTGAGTACTTTTAAAGCGTGAACTGACACCAAGATGTGAAAGCTTTTTTTCAGTTTCTCAAGACAGACTGTACTTTGCTGTAATTATAGATGTGGTGTAAAGATAATGTGTATTATTATAAGCGTCTTTGAACTCCATGCTTTCTCTCAGAGGGTTGCCACACACCCTGCAGATGCACATGGTGGAGTTGGTAAATATTATTCCCATTATGCAGGGGCAGGAGCTGAGGCAGGGATCCCTTGGGTTTTTGCAGGAATCTAAAAAACGGAGTGGCTGAGCTAAAAAGCAGCAGGAGAGCGGAGTTGCCCAGGGCTTTGAGCAGCTGAGTGAAAGAGAAGATGCACACAGTGTGTGTGGGACACACCACCCTGTCTGGGGTCAGGATGGAGTGCCCAATAACACCAGCAAAGCCATTCCCCAGCGCAATGCCAGCGGGGAAGGGAAGGGAAGGGCCACCCGGAATGGGAGAGGACTCGGGCACCTGCACATCACGAGCCCGTGGCCCAGCTGCTCTGTGCCCAGGGAGCCAAACCCGGGTCAGTGTGCCTGGGGACGGAGCCGGGGCAGGATGAGTGTCCTCCATGCAGGTATGAGGAGCAGCTGAGGGAGTTGGGACTGTTTAGTGTGAGGAAGAGGAGGCTGAGGGGAGACCTCATCACTCTCTACAACTACGTGAAAGGACACTGTAGAGAGGTTGGTGCTGGTCTCTTCTCACAGGTAATTAGTGACAGAACGAGAGGGAACGGCTTCAAGCTCCAACAGGGTGGGTTTAGACTGAACATTAGGAAGGAATTTTTCACCCAAAGAGTGGTCGGGCATTGGAACAGGCTGCCCAGGGAGGGGGTGGAGTCCCCATCCCTGGCTGTGTTTAAGGGCCGTTTAGATGGGTTTAGATTGAACATTAGGAAGGAATTTTTCACCCAAAGAGTGGTCGGGCATTGGAACAGGCTGCCCAGGGAGGGGGTGGAGTCCCCATCCCTGGCTGTGTTTAAGGGCCGTTTAGATGCAGTGCTGAGGGACATGGTGTAGGGGAGGACTTTGTAGAGTAGGGGAGATGGTTGGACTCCATGATCCCAAGGGTCTCTTCCAACCTAGACCATTCTATGATTTCTGGTGGTGGAGCAGCCAAAGCTCTGGTGGTACCTCCGCTCCCCTGGATGGAGCTGGGCTCTGCCCTGGGGAGCAGCTCAGTGAAAGAATTGGCAGGTGCCTCAGCTCCCAAACCCTGAGAGGGGCACTTTCAGCTGAGACCACGCAGTGCTGGTGGCCTTTGATCCCAGGAGAGGCGGGGGACGGTGCCAGCAGTCACCCATGGGTCCACCTCCACCAGGGTGGGCTCAGAAGAAGCTGGGCTGCTTTTCTGCCACAGGATTTTGTTCCTTGGCCCCGTGCAGCTGGGACAGAGCCAGGCTCCCCCCCGGGGGCTCTGCCCCACATCAGATGGGGAGCGATGGGGCGAGGGTGCGTGCCTGCACCCAGGGGCTAATTGCACTTAATGACGAGCCACGGGCAGTGGCCGGTGCAGAGCTGCATAACAGGATGAGCGCTCTCCCTTATTAGAGGTAATTAAGCACTTCATCAGCGAACGGCAGTGCCCCAGCAGGTCCCTGCTGCTCAGACCTTCTCCTGCAGGCTCCCTCCAAGGTCCTTAAGGATGTTGGGCCCGTGGTGCTACGGGAAGGGTGGGATTTGGGGGGGTTTGGGAGCGGGTGGACGGAGGGTCCTTCTCTCCGCGGTGGAAGCACTGGGATTTTGGCAGGAGGGGGCCCGGGGCTGTCCCCTGTCCCCCTGGCACCCCGCCGCCCCGGGGGTGGCAGCAGCCACATTCCAGCCAAGTTATTCCCTCCACCCCCTGTTGCTCAAGCGCCACCGGGGAGGACGTGGGGTGCGTTGGGGACACAGTGGGGCTGACACCAGCCAGGGCACGGAGCAGGGGAAGAGGCAGCTCGAAATGCCCCGGGCTGCAGGGAGGGAAGGAGAAAGGTGGAGAATGCGCCGGGCAGATCCCACAGACAGCTTGGAATTCTCCCAAACAAGCAAAACGTGGCACTGGGTTCCTTCTCCTGCTGTGTCTCCTCCCTGGCCCGGGGGCAGACCCCACACAGACACGTTTTTTTTGCCTTTTCCACCCAAATCCCAGGGATCCTGGTCCCTCTCTCCCAGGAGCCAGTGGCTCTTCTTCCTCGCAGCCTCCTCTTCCCCCACTGGGCCACCCACTTCCCCCACTTCCACCCACCAAACTGTGGCTGCTGTGGGTCCCCGGCCACCCCTGGGGCTGGCAATAACCCTGTGAACCCACCCCGAGCTGTTCTGTGGGGACAGGGGTGACAGGAGGGGGCTGGGACCACCTCCCTGCCATGGGAGGGACCCCAGTTCCATTCGTAAGGGTTTCTCTTTAACAGGGGGCCTTCGCTATTTTTTAAATCTCATTTTTTTTCTTTAAAATCTCCCCATTCAGGTGTTTGTCGCTGCAGGAGCTGAGGACCTCGGTGTTGGCCGGGCTGGGGCCGGGGGGTGGGTTTTTCCAGCTCCATCAGTGAGAGTTTGGGAATGTACTGGGAGCATGAGGCCCCTTCTGTGGAGCGCCTAGTTCTCCTCTTCTTCCTCCTCCTCCTGGCACAGGCAAGCTCTGGCAGAAACCCAGCCGCTCCCCTCCTTTGTTCTAACCTGCACACGGGGGGCTGGTTCGCTTGGTGGGGTTGTGTTGGGTCTGTGGGGTTTTTTCCCCGAGAAAAACAAGAAATCAGATATCGGGGGGGACCAGGGGAAAAGAAAGAAATAAAAAAAGTGGGCCAAGCTGTAAAGAATGTGCCGGTGCCGTCGGCAGGGTGGGGAGGGGCTGGTGTCCAACGCGGTGGGGGCAGAGAGACACAGGGGACAGGGAGAAGTGGCAAATACACAGGGCTTGGGGTGGGAACGGGCAGGGGGATGGGCTGGAGTCGGGGTGGGGGGACCCAACAGGGAGCAGCTCCAGCCCTGGGGCTCAGCGGCCCAAGGAAAAGCTCCAGGAGCCATCGAGATGGGACAGGACAGGACGGGGTGTGGAGGAACATTTTGGGTGGCTCAGAACCACCAAAGGCCACAGCCAGGGCAAGGCTGGGCCGGGCACCCTTTGTTTCCGGGGAATGAGGATGAGGATGAGGCAGAGGAGGTTTGTCCTTAAGGATCCAGGGTGGGAAAAAGGCAGATGGAGTTATACAGAAGGATGGAAGTGCTCGCTGGGCTTCATTTTGGGCAGGGCACCCATCGGGGAACAGCCAGGAGCATCCCAGTGTGTGAGGGGAAAGGGGAGGGGACGAGGTGGGTCAGGGGCTAAAATGGGGTCAGAGCAAGACAAAAAGAAGGAACTTGGTGAAATATCTCAGAGTGTTTCCTCGGGTGGCATTAGCAGGCAGGGGCAAGGACATGAGCGTGCCCTTCCGGCATCAAATTAGTCCCGGGGTTAAACGTGCAGCTGGAGGTGCCGTGGGGAGTACAGGAGGGAAAATGTTCCCCGTTTTCTTGGGAAAATAAGGAGAGGGGGGAGCCTGGAGCGTCGCGGAGGAGGACTTACAAGTGGTTGCCCAGCACGTTCCTCTTGGTGGCCCCCAGGAAGCTCATCAGGTTGGGGTCCGAATGCTCGTCTCCCACGATGGTGGGACCAGCCTCCTGCAGGGACAGGCACGGGAGCAGTGAGTGACCCCCCCAGCAGCGCGGCCGCCCCCTCCCCACTCCCCAGCACAGCCCCAGTATGTGCTTTACTGGGATGGGAGTTGCTGTGGCCCATCTCCCCCCTACCAGAGAGGACCTTGGTGGCTTTGCTCCTGGAGGGACACCTGCTGGCTCAGCTCACACGGCTCTGGATCCACGGTGGGGAGTCTGCGGGACCCACCGAGGTGCTGCTCGTGGGCAAAACCAGCAAATCGGGGTGTTTTACCCTGAAATGAGCACCCCCAGGCCGGCTGGGGACCCTGTGTTTGACCTGGTAGAAGAGGGCTTTGGGACGGCTCTGCTCCCCGGGAAGGGGGAGAAGGTGGGGGTGAGGAGGGGCCACGGGTGCCTGGGGCCGCTGAGCACCCTTGGGTGCCCAGGATTGTTGGGTTGGGTGTTTTGTTTTGTGCGTGTGGTGGTTTTTTGCTTTTGTTTTTGGGTTTTTGTGTGTGTGTGTGGTTGGACTCGATGATCTCAAAGGTCCCTTCCAATCACGGAGATGCTGTGGGGTGACGGGGGACGGTCGCCCACCCTTGGAAGCGGCAGGAGCTGGGGGGAGCTGGGGGGAGGCAGAGACGTGAGTCCTCTCCCCCCAGAGCCTCCAGGTGGGTTTCCCACACCCCGTTCAGGGGGGGACAGGGACGGGGACATTTCTGCTCTGCTCCAAAAGTGTCATTGTACGAGATGTTCCTGCGGACGAGGTCAGGGCAGAGAAACTCAATCATGAAATCATGGAATCATGGGATTGCTGAAGCTGGAAGGGACCTCTAGAGATCATCTAGTCCAACTCCCCTGCCAATCTCGGGCACTTACAGCACCGGGGCCGGGGGAGCCAGGACCCACAGCCCCAAAAACACCTCCGGGGCTGGCAGGGGGAGAGACTTTCCACTCCCCCCCACGGTGGGACCCCCAGCCCAGCTGGTGGGGCTGCTGCCGCCCCCCCCTGCTCCAAACCTGCTCCGGGCTCTCCCTGAAAACCCCAGCGTTTAATTGATTTTTAATCAGTGGAGCCATCGTTCCCCTTCAAATCTCCCCCCCCGTTGTGAAGAGTTTGTTGGCGGGAATCCTTCTTCCCAGGGGTCTCCCCCCGGGAGGAACCACCCCGTTATCAGCGCAAAGGGGCTGCTCGACCCCAAATAACCTCCCAAATACTGTAAGTACCAGCCAGACCCTTTTTGACCCCCCCTCTTCTCTGTCACCCCCCGGGGAAAGCAGAGCCCGGGGGCAGGACGGGGGTCCCTGAGGCCCCCCCGGAGGCTGCGGGGGGAGGTTTGCGGGGTCCACGGCCTGAACCCCTCGCCCTGGGGGCAGCGGGAGGGGGAAGCCGCGTTCTTTGGACCCACGGGGGGGGGTTGGCACCAGCCTGGGGGCGGATAAAACAGCGGGTTTCTGGCGGGCGGGGGGAGCGGGGCGG